AAAAAAAAAAAAAAAAAAAAAAAAAAAAAAAAAAAAAAAAAAAAAAAAAAAAAAAAAAAAAAAAAAAAAAAAAAAAAAAAACAAAACAAAAAAAAAACCCACCCAAACATCATGGGGCAGGGATTGCATAAATTTCAGGATCTCCAAGGAAACCTGACAGCAGAAAGGTTTGGAAATAGACCTATGTCTCTATACATGAGGTAAGAGCTGCTGCTGTCCTCTCTCCCTGGATCTGGATTTATTTTAACAATAAATTGTTGGACTTGAGCAAAAAAATAAAAGCTGGAATTAGAACTGATGATATTCATCTCAGGTGTGTCCTTTCTGGCATTTTCTTGGTTAAAAACTGAAGTGTACATGGAAATTCCAGTTGCCTGGAATTGTTTAGCAGCTACCTCTTTGGGGCTGCCTGTAGAGGATGGTACCAGCAGCTCTCCTCAGCAGTGTAAGGGTTCTCTTTAATGGGAACTGCATTTAAGGATTGCAAATCAGCTGGGAATGCTGTAGGTAAACACCTCTGTTGCAGGCAGCTACAAGATTTGCACAGCCTCTCCCCTGCGAGTTGCAACACCCTTGAGTGGTTTCAGGTTATGGGATTGCTGAATAAACCAATTAATGTGGTTATGGGGCCAAAGAAGGTGGTTAATGTCCCTTCTGCATGGTGTTGGCAAAGTGCCCTTCCAAAACAAAGACTTGTAGAATATTTCTAGTTGGAAAGAACCTACAATGATGATCAAAGTCCAGCTTCTGGAATAAAACCACACAAATAACCTCAAAAGATGAATTTTGCACTGTGAAGGATGAGGGTGGAGCTGTGTGTCTGCTAGGTTCTCAGCACAGGAAAGATGTGGAACTGTTGAAGTGAGACCCGAGGAGACCATGGAGATGCTCTGAGGGCTGGAGCCAGGCTGGGTGAGCTGGGGGTGTTCACCTGGAGAAGGCTCCAGGGAGAGCTCAGAGCACCCTGCAGAGCCTAAAGGGGCTCCAGGAGAGCTTGAGAGGGACTGGGGACAAGGGATGGAAGGACTAGAGAAGGGGGAATGGCTTCAAACTGCCAGAGGACAGGGTTAGACGGGATATTGGGGAGGAACTGTTCCATGTGAGGATGGTGAGGGGCTGCGATGACATTCTCAGAGAAGCTGTGGCTGCCCCTGGATCACTGAAGTGTCCAAGGCCAGGCTGGACGGGGCTTGGAGCAACGTGGGATAGCGCAAGGTGTCCCTGCTCCTGGCGGGGGGCTGGAACTGGAAGGTCTTCAAGCTCTCTTCCCACCGCAACCCTCCCGCGGCTCCATGGCGCTGCCGCTCCCCTCACGCTCACTCGACGGGGCTCAGGGCCCCCGGCTCCTTCCCGCTCCGCCCGTGACGACGCGCGCCTCCGCCAATCAGCGCYCGCCGCCGGCCGTCACACCAGCCGCGCCGCCTTCCTATTGGCTGGCGCTGCCCTGGTGCGAGCGCGCCTCCGCCAATGAGCGCCGCGCACGCCCCACCGAGCGATGTGCCGAGCGCTGTGATTGGCGGAGGGGCGGGGCTGGCGCGGCCCCGCCCGGGTCCGGTTAAGCGGCGCGTGGGGAGGGGCGGCGGGAGCGCGCGGCGGCGGCGGCGGGGTCTGAGCGCGACCCCCATGGAGCTGCTACGGAAATGGCTGGGCCACCCCGAGGACATCTACAACCTGCTGCGCTTCAAGATGGGCGGCTACCGCGCCGTCATGCCGCGGATGGACACGGTGAGCGGCCAGGGATGCGCGGGCGGYGGGATGCSCTTCGCTGTCGCCGGTGCGCGGTGMCCCCGGTGGGAAGCGGGACACAGGAGGAGGGGGTGGTGCGGGGGACTGTCACGTCCGGACGCTGATATGGTGTTGCCATGGGTGACAGTCCCATGTCCAGCGTGCATAGGACCGGCCCCGGTGCTACCGGCGGGCAGCACYGGCCCGGCTTTGTGTGCCTTGTGTGTGGCCTCGGTGCTTCCCGGTGTTGCACCGGATCCGGACATCCTCTTGCATTGCTCGTACCTTGCGGGCCTCCCACCGGTTCCGAGCATCCTGTGTGCTGCTGCATCCCACCGCCTCCAAGCATCCCTGCGTGGCTCGGTGCCGGTACCGTGCTTGGATCGCATTGACAGTGGGCAGCTCACAATCCCGGTGCTTCCCAAGCATCCCACCGGCTTCAGACACCCGGTGCTGGTACTTTGCGAGCATCCCATCGGCTCAAGGCATATCACTTGTTCCGGGCATCCCATGCATTGCTCGGAGCCGGTACCCTACTGGCATCCCACCGCTTCCGGGCATCCCACCGGCTCCGAGCATCCCATGCATTGCTCGGTGCCGATATCCTACGAGCATCCCACCAGCTCCGAGCATCCCATGCATTGCTCGGTGCCGATATCCTGCGAGCATCCCACCGGCTCCGAGCATCCCACGGGCTTCACCCTTCCCGTGCATTGCTCGGTGCCGACACCCGCCTGCATCCCACCGGTTCCGAGCATCCCTCGCGTCGCTCGGCGGTACCCTGTACCCATCCCCGTGATTCCGGACATCGCACGGCCCCGGTGCTGTCCGTACATGGCAGCGTCTCCGGCCACGCCGCGGAGCCGGGACGGGGCGGGTTTAAGGGGGCGGGTTTCGGGCCGGGGGCGGAGCGGCCGTAGCCCCCCATCTCCGCCGCGCCCCCATGGCGGCCGGTTCCCGAGCCGCGTCCGTGCTGCGGCGGACACTGACCCTGTCCCCGCCGCGGAACACCCCGCGGGCAGCGGSCCGGCGGGCTCGGCAGCAGCAGTGCGGAACCCCCCCGGTGGCCCCGGCCCCATCGCCCGCCGCCCCCCGGCTCCAACCCGCGCCCCGCTCCTCGCTCTGCCCGCAGGACTCGCTGGGATGTGGCCTCCGCACCTGCTACCGCTACCTCAACCAGACCAGCCGCAGCTTCGCCGCCGTCATCCAGGCTCTGGACGGAGAGCTACGGTGAGTGGGGGGACACCGGGGTCACCCAGGGAGGGGGTGTGGTGACCCCCTGGCACTGGGGAGGTGGCAGGTGGGGTGCCATCCCAGCCCTGGGGATCCCCGGGAGGGGTTGGGTGCAGCTTTCTCCTCCACACTGGGAATCTCCAGGAGGTGGTGGCTGTAATTCTCCTCCCTAGGATGTGGTGGGTACAATGCCACCCCAACACTGGAATCTCTAGGAGGTTCGTGGATGCAGGGGCCCCTCAATATCAGGTGTCCCCAGGAGGTGGTGGGTGTGGAGGTGGCCCATGCAGTGCCCCAAACACCATTTTAATTTAGTTGAGCTGCTCCCTCTCCCATCAGGAGCTGGCTGGACTCACTCAGCTCAGCCCCACCCCGTGCAGCGGGACGTGGGGATTTTCACGTCCCAGCTGGCTGTACCACATCCCCCCTCTCYACCACATCCCCCCCCAAACTGGGTCTCTGGGCTGAGCCTCCTGGCCAGCAGAAAGTTAAACACAGGGCTGGCCCTGTGCCGTGTGTGACACCCTGGGAATGTGTTCTGGCAGTGCCGAGGCTGGCGCTGGACAAAGGCTGGAGGGAGGAGGTGAGAAACAACCTGGGGCTGCCTGAGTGTCTGGGCCTTGCCTGGGAGGTGCTTTTGGAAGCAGCTGCCTCGAAAACTGCGCAGTTGTCACAGGGAGGTTGTTGCACGCTCATTCTTTGCTGTGCGAATTTTGCTGCCCCTTGCAGAAAAGCTTGGGATGGGAATAGTAACAGAGGATGTAAAGCTCAGCTGGCCCAGGGGGACTCGTGCCATGTAATTACTCTCCATATAATTTCATGTATTCATTTGGTAATGACTGATTCCAGTTTGTGAAACTCCAGTTAATTCCAAACTAAGTTGACGATTGAATTTGGGGGTTCTGGAAGTTGTTCCGGACACATCCGATGGCTCTTCCAAGCACTTACAGGCACCAGCCCGAACACTGGGTGATCTGTGGGGTTTCTGAGCCCTGGTTTGGCATTTTGGATGATGTCCCATAGCTGTGTCCAGTGTTTATGAAACCATGTTTGCCAGCCTGGTTTACAGGAARGGCAGAAATTCAGCAGTTTGGCTGGAATTATGTGGAAAATTACAAGTGGGGCCMAGAATTAAGCTTTTTATTTTCCATGCTTTTTCCATGTAGGAATTAAGAAAAAAAAAAAGCAATTAAGAAAACACTACGAAACCTGTTAGCAATGTGCCTGCCCTGTGCTTGCCTCAAACTTCCTGYAGTTTTCTTTGTCTGTCTTTTGTGTCCTTTAATCCTTGCTGGGCAGCCTGCTGGGAGCAGGATCACCCTTCAGGGCACAGAAACTTCTGCCTGGCATCCTAAAAATGCTCTTGCCGGGTCTTTGCAGCCCACGGCTGTGCAGGGATGGTGGTTGGATTACAGCTGCCTCAGTAGTGGATCAAGAGGGACTCATTTTCAAAGCCCGGGAGCTCTGCTGGGGAATTTAGTGCCAAAACAAGGGAAATACAAAATAGGATATAGAAATAGGCAGAACAGCAGCCTTATGGGAGGAATTAATTTTGCTGGATCAAAAAAGTGCTTGCACTGGTGTTAACCCCATCAGGGAGTTCAGCTGAGCTCCTGTGGGTACAAACATGTACCCCAGAAGGACTGCTGGAAAATGGAGAATTTCTGGGGGAGTGCTTGGAGCAGTTCTTCCCTGGCCAGWGAGGGTATTGGTAGTTGAGCTGAAATGTCAGCTCCTTGCTTGGTTTTTTTTGGCCTCTTAAACCACCTGTTTTGCTGGCCAGAGCGTTTTTCCATGGTTAGGGTGTTTTTTGGAAGGTGGGAGGTTCAAAACTGCAGTTTCATCCACGGCTGAGCCAACAGCATCATAACTGCTGGTGGTGGAAAAGAGTTAGAATCCAAGCTGATAGCTCCTCTCCTTGTGTTGGAGAGAAGAGGGATGCTCCTGCTTTTTTTTGCTGCCAGTTCCGTGGTCCTGGCTGTCCCTGGGGCTCTTCAGCATCCATTCCTGAAGGTTCAGCAGAGGCTGTATGTCCTGGCAAGGAGAAAGGAGATCTCCTTACCTGGGAATGAGGGAACTGCACCCCAGACAGGGCTGGAGATTGAGCTCTGGAAGATCCAGGATTGTTCTTTGTGCCCTGTCCAGCCTGACCTTGAGTGTTTCCAGGGATGGGGATCCMCCACCTTTCTGGWCAGGCTGTGCCACTGCCTCCCCACCCTCACAGTAAAGAATTTCTTCCTTTGATTTGCCAAAATTGCCACGGATCTAAATTCAGTGTATGATGGAAGTTAGGGATGCAAGTAAGATCTGGGTGCAGAACTGGGGTCAAATAAGTGTTTTAATTGTGCTGGGCTCTGGAATTACTGCTGCTTGATGTCCCTGTGAGAGGTGCCTCTGGGATGGCATTTCAGGTTCTGCTGTGCCTTTCTTGGTGGCCTCTGGAAGAACCTTGGGCACTTGCATCCTGTTGGATGAACGTTTGCAGCYAGGCTGGAATGGAAAAACTCAGTCATGCAAAGGAACAGGAGCACGAGAGAGCTGCTCATGTGGTTTGACAGAAGTGTTAAATATCCTTCTTATCAAGGGGAAAAAAAGCCAAATTTAATAGTATTGGCTCAAAGAGCAACTCATTTTTCCCTGGATGTTTAATCACTGCTTGCACACTGTCATTTCAGGAGTACAGCCCTGTCACCTGTTAATTAGCATTTAAGTAGACCGAGTTGCTTTCCATTTGTTAAACAATTAATAAATGCCTCGTCTCCTTGACATATATCCTGTGCTTATGGAGATCTGGGGATTATTTTACACAAATCCTGGAGTTGCAAACAGTGTTTCTTGCCATCAGGACTTTTGTTTTGTTTTGTTTTYTGTTTCAGCTGCAGAAATGTGGAAGCAGGGATGGTGAAGGCAGGGAATGGGGAAGTCAGGGGTAGTGGGAGCAGCACTTTCCTGCTGGGATGCTTGGGCATGTGGGCTGCCTCCAGTGTCCTGTGCATGGGGATGTAAAACACAGGGTGGGTTTGGCTCTTTCTGCCAGTCTTAATATTCCTGTTGCACAGTGTGACCCCTTTATTCCCCCCAATAGGATAAAAGGTGTGCATAAAAGGGGAAGTGATGGGAAAATCATACCTGTTTTTTATCCCCTTCCCTGTTTTACATTTGCTTTTTCCAAAATATCCAAAGGTTCCAAAGGTTCTGTGTTTTATTCCAGCTGTTTGTCCTGCCTCATAGGCCATCCCAAGTAAGGATTACTGKTTTTTCTCCCCTCCCAGACACGCAGTCTGTATATTCTACCTGGTTCTCCGTGCCCTGGACACTGTAGAGGATGACATGAGCATCCCTTTGGATGTCAAGGTCCCAATGTTGCAGGAATTCCACTCCCATCTCTACCAGCCCGACTGGAAGTACACYGAGAGCAAGGAGAAGGACCGGCAGGTGCTGGAAGACTTCCCAACGGTAAGGCAGCCTCCTCCTGGCTCCTTGTGGCACCTTTGGGTGCCTGGCTGTCCCCTCGTGGTGCTTGCAGAGCTTGGCAGTCCCACAGCTCTTCCCAAAGGCTCTGTCACCTGCCTGTGAGGCTGGGTGCCAAGCTGGGTGAGAAACCCAAACATTGCCCAATGCTGGGAGCCAGAGGGGATCTGGCTGTGGAAAAGTGCCAGCTCTGATTTGGCTTTTTGTCTCCTCTGCTGGAGCAGCAGGTGACCATTGTCTTGTGGAGAGAGATTTAGGGTTGTTACCCCATATGTCCATAGTGGAAGGTGTCCCTGCCCATGGCAGGGGGTGGAATGAGATGGTCTTTAAGGTCCCTTCCAACCCAAACCATTCTATAATTCTGTGATCTAAGATAAGAAGCACCCTCACTGTTAATTAGTCACAATATTCCTTTTTTTTATTGATATTTAGGGTTTTTTTCTGTGCTCTGTTTAAAAAAAATATAATAGTTCTAGTGAAGAGCATCTCATTTGCTGAGGAACTTCTGTTTTGTTAAATTTTTTACCATATTTAATTTATTCTACCCTTTTCAGGCTTTCCCTAGCAGTGGGARTGGGGTAATTGGAGAACTGAGGAAATTTGTGAATTTTGATGCTCAGCCTTGGGATGAAGTGGCTGTTCCCTCTCAGGAGGGTGTTGTGTTATAGGGGATGTCTGTGTGGGGTTCTGGATGTGTAGGGACAGAGGTGGTAGGTATGTCAGGTGGTAGGTATGTCAGGTGGCTTGGTTTTAAAGAAGCTTTTGAGGTGTTTGTGGCACTTCGTTGTTCTCTCTTGGTGTGTGTGGTGTTTATGTGAGGCAATCCATGATCAGGTATGATTTTAATAATCACAGAATTGTCAAATCATGGAATTGTTGGGTTGGAAGGGACCTTAAAGCTCATCCCATTCCATTCCCTGACATGGGCAGGGGCACCTTCCACTGTCCCAGATTGCTCTGAGCCCTGTCCAACCTGMCCTTGAAGTTTTGGGGGGCATTCACAGCTTCTCTGGGCATCCTCTGTCCATGCTTCAGCACCCTCAGATTTAAAAATCTTTAATAATATTTGCTAGAGTTGCATTTGCCAGTGAAGCTTCTCTCAGTAGGGGACTGAAGCCACAGAGACAGCAGCAGAGTGGACACTTTTATTTTACAGACAAATCCTTACTGCACACAAACCTTGGGCTGGCTGCAGTCACCAAATGATGGAGAATAAATCTTATCACAGTTTTGGGAAAGGGAGGATGCATTTTAATTTTTTTTTCAGTCTGAGAGCAATTGAGACACTGTGGGTGTCTCTTCCCATGTTGGGGGCAGGGGTTGGAACAAGAACTTCAAAGTTCCTTCCAGCCCAAACCATTCTGGAATTCCATGATCACTTTACTGGACATGCAGAAGAAGGATTTCACCCTTCCATCACCGCTTGATGCCTTTCCAGTTGTGCAAAATGTGCCCTGTGAAGCCAGAGCTGGAGGGGGCTGGGAAGAACAGAGCAGCAGAAACCTCCCATGGGTCATTTCCCGTGGCCGGTGTGCTCTCAAATTACAGAGGAAAACAGCTCCATGTACCAAGTGCAGTCAGTTTTGTCCTGCAGCTCCCAGATGATACCAGTCCAAGGCCACAGAGCCTTCCCAGAGATTTTGCTGTGTCTGATCTCCTGCCAGAGACCGTCCCGTTTAGACTGAGAACAGACTGAGCCTGTGCTCCAAGGACCTTGAAACAGCTCAGGTTGGGGGAGTTGTCCCAGATCTCCAGCCAGGGCAGGATTAGAGCCTGGTAAACAGTATTTTTCTGGTTTCTTAATCAATGTTGATCTCTGATTTTGTTTTTGGGTTTTTTGTTTTTTCTTTTTCCTGAACACTCTCTTCTTGTTTTTACTGTGCTGCAGATCTCCATGGAGTTCAGGAACCTGTCCAAGGTCTACCAGGATGTGATTTCAGATATTTGCCACAAGATGGGTGTTGGGATGGCAGAGTTCTTGGAGAAAAAGGTGGATTCTCTGAATGAGTGGGATAAGGTGAGCCAGAGGAATGGACTGAGCATGAGTAGGGTCAGTCATGGAGCCATTCAGGTTGGAAAAACCCTCCAAGATCATCAAGTCCAACCATTCCCCCAGCACTGCCAAGGCCACCACAGAGCCACGTCCCCAAGTGCCACATCCACAGCTTTTTTGAACACTTCCAGTTAGTGTCCATCTTGTCTCTGTGGAAGGAGGTAACAGAGCATCCCTGTTAGGAAAAGTTTTGGTTTTTTTTATGGGAAAGCTGATACATCCCAGGGAGGCCTATGAGAGATTGCATAAATGAACTGTCACTTGTTTTTTTTTAAACTCACTGTGGCAAACAGGCAGCTCTTTGTAACTGCTCCTTTTATCTTGTTTCCCCCCTCCTTTCCCAACTTGGCACCTCCTTGGCAGTATTGTCACTACGTTGCTGGCCTGGTGGGGATTGGCCTTTCCCGTCTCTTCTCTGCATCAGAGCTGGAGGATTCCATCGTGGGGCAGGACACACACCTGGCAAACTCCATGGGCCTCTTCCTGCAGAAAACCAACATCATCCGTGACTATCTGGAGGACCAGCTGGAGGGAAGGGAGTTCTGGCCCAGAGAGGTGAGGAAAAAACCTCAATGAAATTGCTGCTGTTGGCTGGACATCTTGATAACAATCATTCTTCTGATGACAGCTGGCTGCCATCTCTCTGCAGCTCTCTGGGTACTGATKTGGGGATGAGGTGCTGTCACCCCACTCCACCAAGAGCTGCTTAGGCAGTGTTTTTTCCTCTCTGCTAGGTTTTCTCTAGGAATTGGGGGAGGATAAGACTGGGAGAGATCCCAGGAAGGCACCTGGTCTGTCCCCAAATGCAGGATCAGCTCTGCTGTGCCTGACGTGATGTCAGAATTTTTCTCCCCTTTTCCCCCTGTGGCTCAGCTGTCCCACAGGGCATTTCTTCATGTGTGGTTCATCTTTTCCTTGCCCTGCTGACGAAACATGTGGGGATAAGTTGCACCCTCCTCCTTTACAATCTCTTTGTGTGCATCAGGGCCACTCTCAGCTCTGCCCTTCCTGCTTTTCTTCCTCCCAGTGATGCTCCAAGGCTGTTGTGAGGGGGATTTTGGTGGTTCTTGTTGCTCTCCCAGACCTGCTGTCTCTCTGATGACACCAAAGCACCCTCCAGCTCACGGAGCCTTATCTTTGTGTTCAGGTTTGGAGCAGATATGCCAAGAAGCTCTCAGACCTTGCCAAGCCAGAGAACATTGATGTGGCTGTGCAGTGCCTCAATGAGCTCATCACCAACGCCCTCCACCATGTCCCCGATGTCCTCACCTACCTGTCCCGCCTCAAAAACCAAAGTGTCTTCAACTTCTGTGCAATCCCCCAGGTGAGTTCAGCTCCCAAGTGGTTCSTTGTKGGGTTGATGGGGAATAACAGGTCACRCAGATATTAATATGATGAGCATGATTTGTTTATTTTTAATACAAGTTCTTTTTTATCTACTTTCATAAGCTAGCTTTTCTATATGATTAGCAATTATTTATTGGTTAATTTAGTAATTTGTCTATTATATCTTAACATATGATTGGTATATTTGCAAAAGYGTGTTTTTRTATGCCTTGCAGTTTTAAATYAGCGTTTTTAGCATTTTGCTTTTTYYTTWAWTKKTWWTTTKKTYYTYMAWT